AATATTGTATTCGCAAGATTAGCCCGAGTGGAGACTGTACGTAGGCAATTTTAAAGTGACGTTCATTTGGTTTAACCATTTCCGCAAATATGGTACACAGAAGTTAATATTGCATATAACGAATCAAACGAACATCAATACGGAAACATCCTTAGAAGAATTAAATTGAAATTTATATACATTACTTAATAAATCAGTATCAGCAATAAATACGTAAAATATCATAGTTTAAAATTAGTTTTTAACAAATAATTAATAGAAAATAAAAATGCTTGTATATAAACAGAACGTTGAGATAATTACAATATCGTCCCTATAGATAATCTACTTATGCGATTCAAATTTATAAGGAAATGATTCAGAAATCGTGAGATGCGGTCTGGTGTGATGTTGATTTCAGAAAAACATTTTCTTTATCGTGGCAACGTTTCGATCTTTATTGAGATCATCTTCAGAGCCTTGTGTTGTATGTATTTCAACTACATATGGACACGAAGCTAAAAAAATTTTGAACGACATTGCCAACAATGAGAAGAAACTCACATGGTCAAATCAGAGAATTTTTTGTTGAAATGCAGACAACACAAGGCCCTGAAGATGATTTCAATAAAGATCGAAACGTTGGCACGATAAAGAAAATGTTTTTCTGAAACCTACATCACACCAGCCGCATCTCGCGATTTCTGAATAATCATCAATAACGGTTAATAATCACACACATTTATAAGGAAAATTATTGGTCATTTGTTTACAGTTTTAACAATATAACATATTTTAACAATAATATCTATACAGTGATACGGTGAGAAATAAATTGTGTGTGTGAGAAAGAGAGAACGAGAGGGGAGAGAGAGAGAGAGAGAAAGAGAGAACGAGAGGGGGGAGAGAGAGAAATTGTCTAAAAATTGGAGAAAAAAAAGAAGGCTGGAGAGATGAAAAAAATTTATTGACATTGGGAAAAAAGACGTTGATAGAGAGAACAAAAAATGAGATTAAGAATTTCATGGAGGGTAGAAGTTCGTTTTATCCTGCCAAAAAGTCTATTTTTGTTGTTTTATTTCGTACGATTTTTGCTGAGTTCTTATTCAATAAAGAACAGTAAGCACAAAAATGCAAAAATAAGTTTGGTGAAGTCGTGACGTCAGGAATAATGTATTATAGAAAAACACACTTTTTGCCTTCGTTTCGACCTTTATTCCGGTCATCTTCAGGACATAACCTGTGTTGCTTGTTCTTGTGGTACCATAATGGTTTGTGTACAATTATTTAGACTCACAAATCCACTTAAAAACATTATACCAAACGGTCACTAAAAAACACTTTAAGACTAACGTCTAAAAACAAAACTCCAAAAGAGAGAGAGAGCGAGAGAGAGAGAGAGAGAGAGAGAGAGAGAGAGAGAGAAAGAAAGAAAGAGAAATAGAGAAATTGTCTAAAATAGGGGCAAAAATAGAAAGCTGGAGAGATGAAAAAAAAATTGACATTGGACATTAAAAGACGTTGATAGAAAGAACAAAAAATAAGATAAAGAATTTGATTGAGTATAGAACTTTATAAAAAAAGAAAAAATTGTGTGTCCGTGTGTGTTCGTGCGTAGTACGTACGTGTTTTTGTGTGTGCGAGAGAGGTAGAGGAAAAGAGAAAGAGAGAGAGAGAACGTGAGAGGGAAGCCAAAAAATGTATGTCATACAACTAGGATCTGGTTGATCTAGATCTAGTAGATAAACAGACAGAAAAAAAGGTTCAGAAAGAATGAAGAGTTAATAAATAAAAACATACAAATAATATAAAAATGATGAAACAGATAAATAAACAGAAACAGTTTTATGTTAAATTCACTAATTTCGTGGTCCGATTGACCAATTAATATTTTACAATTAATTAAGGTTTTCAGTTGAGATAAAAAAGTCAATGGCTCGAGCAATATTCGAACCCACGATCTTCGGCTTGATACGCCGCTGCTCTACCACTTGAGCTATCGTGACCAAGACCTTTTGAAAAATGGCAAAATGAGCAAAAATTCAAATGGTGTGGTTGAGGTGGGACGTTGGTGTCCGAGTGGATCGAGGTCACGATAGCTCAAGTGGTAGTGCAGCGGCGAATCAACCCGAAGATCGTGGGTTCGAATCCCGCTCGTGCCATTGACTTTTTTATGTCAACTGAAAACCTTAATTAATTTATATTAAATGTGCACGTTGATCGAAGACGGACGAAATAGCTAGAAGCGGAAGTAGTAACTATCGAAATTGGTAAATAAACGATATTTGCTGAAATTTTAAAACGTTTTTGTACAGACAAAATATCGTTACTATGCTTGGCAGTATTTATTTAACTTAATTGAAATATGGTCTTACCAAACAATATCGTTCGCCTTTCTGGCAGATTTCGGCATTTTGCCATTTTCAGTGTGACATATTTAACACTAATTCGTCACATAAACAAACGAAATTATAATAGTTCACTCAAACTTTCAATTTATCACGACTTTTTAATAGAGTCGTAATTTCATAAAAATTACCAATCTGACCTAATTTAAGCTTCATCGCAATACTCAATTTCCTTATTAATTGGATATATTCCATACATTATATGTACATATTTGTGTTTTAGAATACATATTTATGTTTTTTTCAACCCTCTACAAAGTTTTATGCAAAACTGTTTTATTAATATTTTTGTCTCCTTATATTAAAAGAAATACATTTAAATTTAGCTCTATATAAAATTGTGTGGAAATTGTGTTTTTTTTTAATTAATTAATTTTTTTTCGAATGGGGTTTCCGTCATTTCAGCCCCCAACTAAGTCTATATTCTATTTACCCTTTCAAACACTACATTCATACAAATAAAAACATTCATACACATAAATACATCCATACACTCATTCCGTTTGGTTGAAGGAGTACTTCATATTCCTCCACCGACCTATAATTAGACTAATTTAGAATGGGGTCGATGGAGTACTTTTATAAATATTCTGCCAACGACCCCGAACACACACTCTTACGCTCTCAACGTTCGAGGGGCGATGATGACTTTATATTTTACCCTCACCCCTCGCCATTCACGCTAATAAATACATGCACATAGACAAAACATATAGACACAACACATAAGACATATTATATACAATATAAAAAAAACCAATTTCCCCTAAAAAGCGGATCAGGGGACTCTGAAACTCGCTACCGTGTTCGAGAACTCTTCTTAAGTCCGGCGGCATGCCTACCCGCTCTCCGTATGGAGCCAAGGCATGGCACGCCTCTATTATGTGGGACACATCGAGCAACTTTTCTCTGCGCGGCTTTGGCCCAAAAGCAGGTGCCCGTGAGTCAACCGCGCATGGCCAATCCTCAGTCGGGTGAGGACGACCCCCCGTCTCCTGCTCAGCTTCTCTGAGGGCCATCCACCGGTCGTGCTCTTGACTCGCAAGAGCCTCTCCGACGAGCCCAATATTTAATGTATGTATTTATACAACATTATATTATGAACAGTAGATTTGTATTATATAACAATGAAAATCACCAAAAGGCCTAATGGCTTGTCTGGGTAAGATGATCAGTTTTTCTTTCAAAATAACAATGCAGTGAATTACATATTATTATTTAAAGTTCAAATTGTTAAGCAAATATTATTTATAATATGTTTTTTGAATGATTTTAGGTTCATTTAACTACGTATTATTACTTAAATTTCGTATTGTTACAATAAAATATTATTTATAATATGTTTTATGGATGATTTTAGATCAGCAAAACTATTTATATTAATTAATAATTTATATTATTAGAAGTAGATAAAATGCAAAAAAACTTAATTTTTGTAGGAAAAAACTAGTTCTTCTTGCTTGGTTTAGGCCTTAGTCTAGGCTGTGTTATCGGCATGTTTCGTCGTCCCAGTTTTCTCCTAGACTTAGTATTCCCAATACACTATAAATTTTACCTTAGGATTGTTTTTGTCGTCTCTTTCCCTTTTTATAGGATGATGCTTTGTACTGTATACAAAGTAAAGTTCGTCAAGTTGAAACCCTTTGAACAGTAGATTACATTCAAGGTTTCATACTTTGATATCGACTCAAGGAAGATATACCGACAACAGGATAGAAAAGAAATGTTGACCTTTACACTACATGACAACAAAATCTCAATAAGTGATAATTAAATTCACTAATTTCGTGGTCCGCTTGAGCAATTAATATATCACAATTAATTAAAGTTTTCAGTTGAGATAAAAAAGTCAGTGTCACGAACGGGATTCGAACCCACGACCTTCGGCTTGATCCGCCGCTGCTCTACCACTTGAGCTATCGTGACCTCGATCCACTAGGACACTAACTTTCCATCTCAACCCCACCTTTTGAATTTTCCCTCGCTCGTGCCATTGACTTTTTTATGTCAACTAAAAACCTTAATTAATTGTAATAAGTGATAATGTTGAATTGTCGTTGCGGTTTAATGGATTTTTGATTTTAATAAGGCTTGTCGTACAAAACTGTAAAAGATTCAAGCATATGTTAATTGAAATATTGATGAAAAAAATATATAACCAAAAAACAAACGTTTTTAATGATGTTTCTGATTTCTAACTTGTTATATGGTTCAATACATTAAAGTCATTAAACTAAATTGATTGAGTAATTAAATTTTTATAATTATTATTGTCTGAAAGAATAAATGAACTAGTTTCTCGACAGCTTCAATGTCCAATAAGACCAATAAATTTCAATTTAATGAGAACAAATTTCTATTTTTATTGACACAATAGGCTTCATCGGATAGGAATTGTTCAGCAATCACTAGAAGATCTGTTGATCTCACACATTTTTCAACTCCTTGCCCCCCTGTAAATTCTATATAGATAAGTTGAAAGGAAGGCTTTCAGAACAAATTTAATTTGATTATGTACTTATTATTCAAAACTAATATATCTAGATTGATTTGTGGTGTTTTCATTTAAGTTTTAAATCGAAAGAATCTGATATATCAATATTGATGTTGCAGGGAAGGAAGAACATGAAGGGGGTCGTTTTTTGCCTCTTCATCCTAGGGGCATCGGGCTGGGGCAGGAAAAACCAGACGGGGATCCAGATCGGTCACAGGCACCCTCCGCCTTCCCCAGGGATCGTCCGTGGTACCGGGGTGCAGATCGGGACTAAAACTTTTACCAGGAACCACTCTCTTCCCTCTGCCGCACACCACACGACGACGACGACCACCGTGGCGCCGACGCCACCCCCGATGCCCCTTGGCCCACGTAAGTTACACGTCGCACTCGTCGTGCCGTATAAGAGTTTCGCGGTCAGGGACTACCACAAATCCGTTTCTGCAGCGACTAACAGTATAATGAGAGCTACGAAAGGTCCTCTGCTCCATTCTTTCAAAAGCTTCGAACTTCAAGTGAGAATCGACATGAAACAACTCACACCAAGCCCTACAGGTAAAAAACAAAGCAAAAACAATTACAATTTATTTGATTTTTAAGGTTCGTTGCGTCTGGTTATGATTTCTGTACAATTTCGTGCAGAGGGTGTTTACCCCTGAATTCCTGGTCCGTCCATTCCTGCAATAATTCAATACACAATAACTCCCAACAAATTGTATGGAATAATATTTCTCCAAAGTCCATATATTTTATGATTGTCAATAAAGATTTGAATATCTAGCTCTCTTTGTCTGTCAGTAAGTCTGATGAATAAAAGTATATTTAGTTGTATACTTATTAGCAGTATAATAAAATATGCAAGTTTGTTTATTTATTTCTAACTTTGTGTATTTCTATGAGCACTAACTTATGTTGTAAGTGGCATTCATGTGTTGTGTGATATCAAATATATACGTGTGAACTTCATGTTAGTACTTATTTATTAATTTAATTTTAGTTCTTTTTTATTGTTATAATTTTTAGTAGCAACCTATGTTTATATTAAGTCGCAATTGTACATATATTCTTGTTTCTTTCCGCATCGACCTACCATAGACAACGACAGACTTTGTCCATGTGTATACTCTTTTTTCCATTGTTGTAAATAAAAGTCCCTCTTTTTCTCCCCCTCCCCCCCTCTCTCTCTCTCTCCCACTCTCTCTCTCTCTCTCTCTCTCTCTTTCTCTCTCTCTCTCTCTCTCTCTCTAGCTATCTATCTATCTATCTATCTCTTTCTCTTTCGCTTTCTCTCTCTCCCATTCCTCTCTCACCCACCCCTCTCTACTACCATCTCTCTCACTCTCTCTCTCTCTCTCTCTCTCTCTCTCTCTCTCTCTCTCTCTCTCTCTAATTGAATATTTATTTATTAAACTTGAATATCTATTATTGTTACATTTGTTATCTCTTTGCTTATATATAGTATATTTCCATCTAACTACTCTATAAACCCGTTTATTTTTATGTTTATGCGTTAGTTATTCATTGGCTGTTTTTTTCTTTTCTTTTACAGCCTGATCTCTTTATGACTACACGATTTTACAATTACAAATAGTACAATATAATCATTACAATTAATTAAGGTTTTTAGCTGAGGTGAAAAAAAGTTAATGGCACGAGAGGGATTCGAACCCACGACCTTCGGCTAGAAACGCTGCTGCTCTACCACCTGAGCTATCGTGACCTCGATCCGCTCGGACATCAACTCCCCATCTCAACCCCACCTTATGAGTTTTCCCTCCTATTTTCATCTCAGCTAAAAACCTTAATTAATTGTAATGATTTAATTGGTCAAGCGGGCCACGAAATTAGTGAATAGTACAATATAATGTTTAAGTTACAACACTTTACAATTATTTTCAATTCACTTTGGTCACTTATCATACAATTTTCTGTTTATATTATTATTATTTTTTTTTTAAGCTTATTGAATTTTTTCAAAGTTTGTACTATTATTAAATAGTTTTTATTGTTTGTTAAATAATTCCTGAATTGTTGTGGGTCAGGTTCCTCCTACTGTTATTGATCTTATGATTTGTACTCGAAGTTCGCAGTGAAATATGATGTACTGACAAGTTTGAGGTTCTCTTGTGCAGCAGTAGCATAATTCATATCTTCTAGATTAAGCCAGAAGATATTCATTCGATTTAATGTGTGGCTCAGCACTTGGGCCAGCTTATAGAAGTACGGAATGTTTAGTGCTTTGCTCGATACAACCGTCGGGCACTCTACGCACACGGACATGCTACATAGAAGATGGTTCGGTATCATTGAATTATTCTTACGTGCATTAGGCTTCGTACTCGATGATTTTTTTTTACTAATTTTTAACCGCGTGACTCCAAACTTGAGCTCAATAAGTAAAATTTGGGACGATAGCTTTTTATAGATATTTCTGATTGCATCACATCCTTTACTTGAATTCTGAGTTCTGTCACATAAATATCCACAGTGGTCGCGTTTCATTTTTTTGTTGATTTTAACGGGTTTCGACTTCTTGAAAGTTTTCTCTTTATAGGTAAAAGTTAACAAGGTAATACGCTTATTTGAATTAATAAATGAGTGCCCGCCACTCTGAACACGACAGACAAGAATGACACATCTACACGGAAAAAAACACTTTGAGCCCTGAAGATGATCTCAATAAAGATAGAAACGATGGCACGATAAGGAAAATGTTTTTCTAAAACCTACGTCACACCAGACCGCATCTCACGATCTCCGAATAATCATTAACTAACGGTCACTAAACACCACACATTCTTCCATTTATTTATATAATTTCGTTATACATTTTCTCTCTCTGTCCACTTATTATTTTTATTTATGTTTCTTTCTCGTTCTTTGTTGTTGCTTTATCTTTTACTTCACTGCTGCTCTTTCTACCTGTACAGTTTGTTCTTCATAAAAATCAGACTGTCGTTCTGCCTGTCTGTCTGACTTTGTCTGTCTCCATTTTTTATTTGTCTATCTCTATCTTTCTCTCATCTTTATTTTTTATAAACATCATCGCCCGCTATATCTGTTTTGCAAGATATTTCGTAAAGTGGGCATTACGTTCTCACTTTCACATTTTCTGCCCACTTTATCCATTTACTTAACTACCAAACTTTACTTATTTACATTACTATTAATATTTATAGATTTTCTAAATATTCGTTTTAATATGTTCATTTAATTTCCAATTAATCGATTAATCCCTCTAAGTCCTATTTAATTGTCCCTCTTTGTTATAGTGTCTATAATTTTGAATATAGTATAGCTCAATAAATTTCACCCACTCATTCATTCCCTCGCTCACCCCTTTTCTCTGTCTCTCTTTTTCTTGCTCTCACACTCTCTCTTTCTTTTTACGCTACGTTCTCTCTTTCTATCTCCTCATTCTCTTTCTGTTGTTTTCTCAATTTCTCTCATTCACACTCTCAATTTTTCTCTCTTTCTCTCTCTCTCTCTCTCTCTCTCTCTCTCTCTCTCTCTCTCTCTCTCTCTCTCTCTTCTTACCTACCTACCTATTTACAAACCTATGTATCTATCTCTCACTACCTTTCTCTCTCTCATCTATATTCTAAATACAGGGTGTCCTTTTAGATTGCCCGGATGAAATTCTATTGAATCAATGACACTATAAAAAAGTACTGTTTAATATTTTTTAGTGTAGTTTCAAATTAATATCTTTTTTGGGGAAAATTATATTGGGTACATCAGACCCAGTTCAACTTCAAAATTTCAAATACGACCGTTTACTACATGCACATCATTTTAAAAGATTTTTTACGTTGAAAAAAATGGTGCCATCGGATTTTAAATTGATCAGAAAACGACAAAGTTATGGCAAAACGTTAAAAAAAGCCACTCATTTGGTTTGCTTTTTATTTCATATTTCAACAGCCTGACTTGCGTAAAGATGCAAAGTTTACTCTTTTTAACCACTCTTCACTGATTCCAAGGGAAGAATTGAGATTGAGATTTAGAAGCATTTTCTATCCTTTGCCGCAGTTTTTCAACCGAGGTTGCAAGGTTACGATTGGCGTAGATACTTTTTTTAAATGTTCCCGCAGAAAATAGTCACGGGGAGTTAAATCGGGTGACCCACAGATCGGGCCATGAGGTCTCATCCACTTTTCCCGGAATTGACGATTCAAATAACTATTCAGAAATCGTGAGATGCGGTCTGGTGTGATGTAGGTTTCAGAAAAACATTTTCTTTATCGTGCCAACGTTTCGATCTTCTTCATCAGTTCATCTTCAGGGCCTGGGATTTACAAACATTGTTTACATATAACAATTACATTTTGGATGTGGAAAAGTGAATTTATACAATGCAAAATATATTTTTTATATTCAAACAAAGTATTGGTATGGTATGGTGGAAGGGATGCTGGGAAGCGGGGCTTGTACTCCCCAGGCACTGCAGCCTTCTGGCTTATTGTACCTTCCCAGTTCCCTAGTTTAGTCAATAGACTCAATCCTTCTTCTCAGAAGTATCAGGTCATTGACTGTTATTGCTGCAATTTGGTTCCCTGAGTCTTTTTCGTACGTTAGGTTAAACCTCCATTGAGCTGTTGCTTCGCATTCGAAGATGATTTACATAATCTGCAAATGGGGTCATCGCTGTATATACCCATATTTTGTAGATGTTTTCTCAGATACCAGTGCCCGGTTAGTAGTCCTACCACTCCTCTGAGTTTGGTCCTCTCCAATTGCAACAGTGTTTTTGCCAATTTTGGTGAGGGTTGTTTCAGAATAAGTTTACTATGTCTAGCACCGCTAGAGTTTATCCACTTCTCTCTTTGTTTTGTTTGGATCCATTCTGCGATGGAGTATTCTATGTTTGTTTTTGGTATCCCAAGGATAGGTTGTATGTATTTGTTAAATGTAAACAATGTTTGTAAATCCCAGGCCCTGAAGATGATCTCAATAAAAATCGAAACGTTGGCACGATAAAGAAAATGTTTTTCTAAACCCTACATCACACCAGACTGCATCCACGATTTCTGAATAACTATCGACTAACGGTCACTAATAACCACACGATTCAAATAAAGTCTCACCTCCAAAGAATTGAGTGCGAGGCATACATCAAGCAGAGAATCATCCTTTGTCATTGTTGCAGAAGAACATCAACAGTGCTGGTAAAATCTCCCTCAAGAAATTGAGGAACTTAGCACCTTTTAAATTATTTTCGTAAAATCTCATCACCCAGTTCAGTTGATACTGTGAACCACATGATGATGAAGGGTAGAAGAATTTTCCTCTGCCCATGTTTAAAAATTCCAACGGTTTAGTATGCCATTAGAGGTGAACTTGTATTCTTCAGTCCGTAGGATGTAAGGAAGAACGTTTTTTTCAATCGACTTTGCGCAAGGTTCGTTAGATTCCTGTCATAAACAGTGCAGACGTCCCTAGATAAGATGAGAGCGATACGGCTAAAAAATTTAATTCCGGAGTGTATCTCTAATTTTTTTTTTTTTTTTGGTAAATGCTAAAAGCCTTCCAGCATTTCGGAGAGAGGAATTCGG